CTTATCGCTTTTAATATTACCTAAAGCTACTCTTTATTTAAACTAAACAAATTTACTAAATAAATTTACTAAATAAACTTATTAATATATAAACTACTACCTCGACGAGAACTTACTCTATTTTTAGTATATAATTAATAATTAATAAGCTAAAAATACTTATTAATAAGTTTACCCCTTTTAAACTAAGCGCCTTTTTTAGCTAACTTAATACTATAACTATTATAACTAACGTAAGTATACTTAAAAATTAATAAAATACCTTTTAATAGTACGGAATTTAGTTAAGTAATAATACGAATACTATAAATAACTAGATTAATACGGATATTAAAATCTAGTATATTAATATTAGCTTAAAAATTATATTTTATAGAACTAGAAATCCCTTTAATATAGGCTATATTATAAATATAAAAGAATATATAAAGGGCTCCCTAACCCTTAATAAAAAAAAGTATATAATATAAGATCTAGCTACTTACGTAAGTTAGTACTAAGAGGTCTTATATACGTTAAAATAAGTATAGCTCGCCCTCTAAATAGCTAGAACTTAGAGGATTACAGGGGAAAGTTAGGAGTTTTAATTAATAATTAAGTATAGAGCGTAATATACCCAGTTTTCCCTAATACGTAATATACAATACGGCCCCGGTAGATTACTCCGTCGGGGGGTAAAATATAACTTTATATTAAAAAAATAAAAACTTATTTTTAGTATTATTACAAAAGGCTAGGTAATAAAAATTAAGGAATTAGTAATTAGGTATATTATTAATAATAATAGCCTATTTATAACTTTTTAAGATCCTTACTTCTGGGCCCTCTTTTATTAATTAGATTATAATATTACTAACGAACTCTTATTATTATATAAAAATATAAGAAAGGAGCTAAATAGGATTTTTATTAAGAAAAGAGATATAATTAGAGTAGAGATCTAGAGGTTAATAACGAAAATCTACTTATTATTTAATTTATAGACCTTATTAATATGAAATACTATTATTACTATTTTTACTTACTTTTTAAACTATACTAAGTAATAGATATAATATTTTATTACTCTATAATAATAATATAGTACTTATAATAGGGCTAATATTACTTAGATTATAAAATTAGTAATAGATAATTAGGAATTAGGTAATTAAGTCGGAGTAGTTATTTATAATAATACTTTAAATAATAATACTTATTTTAGTTACTTATATTTTATATTATTTTATATTTATATTTAAGAAAATGTTTTTAATTAGAGGATTAAGTATTATAGTTATATTTTTAACCTCGTTAGTAAGGCCTTTTTATTTAGTAATAATAAAGAGGTATTTAAGTAAGAATTAGATATATTAATTAATACTAAGTAATTTTAAAAAGATCTTAACTTTTAATATATAAGGGGCTTTATTAATAAGTTTCGGAACGTTATTAAATTTATTTAATTATTATTTTAATAATATAAGGCCTTTTTCGAGGTTAGTAATAAGACTAATAAGAATAATATATTTACTCTTTTTAAGGAGTCGTTATAAGAGCTTATATTAATATTTAATAATAATATAAAGTAAAATTCGATATATTTTATAATATAGCGCTTTTTATAAAAAAGAAAGTAGATTTATACTTTTTTAATAATTAGTCGAGCTTATAAAAATCTAAAGTAATAGATCCTTATTAAAGACGTTTTTAATAATAACGATTAGTAGTTATTAACTAAGCTAAAGGCGGTACTTAAACTACTTTATTTTTAAATAATAAGATATTAGGGTTAAGGTAAAAGAGATAGTTATAGCCGTTTATAAGAAGTAATAATAAGTTTTAAGTACTTTATTAACTATTTTAAGGAGTAGAAAAAGTTATATAATAAACTTTTTAAAAAAGAAATAGATCTTATAGCTTTTTAAATCGTAGCGTTATAATTATAATTAATATAAGTAATACTACCTTATTAATAATTAGCTCGTTATTAATTTATATTTTAACCTCTTTCTTAACTTCTAACTTTAAATAATATCTCTTATTATATTTAGTTTAAGTATATACTTAGGGAGTAAGTAGAGCTACTTTTTAATAATAATTTTAACTTACGAGGATATTTTTAATTATTAATTATTAATACTTAGTAAGTCCTTAATAAGTATTATATTAAGTTAAGTAACTTTCTGCTCTATACTATAATAATTATTTTTTACTCTAAATAAGGATTAAAATAGTTAAAAAAGAAATAGGATATACCTAAGTAAAGCTATTAACTATTCGATATAAAAAAAGGACTTTATAATTATTAATAAAAATAGTATATAGATAAGATAATAAGTCCTCTTCCTCTTTATTATTTAAGTCCTCCTCTTTTATTATAATAATTATAAATTATTTTTATTATTTTTACGATTTTAAAAAGTATTATAAAAGACTTATAATATTAATAATAGTTAATATTTTAAATAATAAAGGTAATAATTAACTATATACCTAAGCTTAATTAATATTACTTATAAATTATTCTTTAACCGGTCCTTAACCTAATTTAATAATAAATTAATTATTAGCTAACCTATTTAATATTAAGTAAGCCTATACTTAATATTTTTATAATCCTTATAATAATAATAAATTGCGAGAGGATATTTAGCTTTATAAAGTTAATTTTAATTTTATAATAATTATTAATAAGATTCTTTATATTAAAAAAAGTTTAATATTTTAAGAACTAGCTTTATAGTAGTATTATTAAAGTAAGAGGTTAATTTTATAATTAGAAGAGCTAATTAAAGTAAAGTTTATAAATTAATATTATAAGGACTTTTATAATAGTTTTATTTAATTCTCGATTAAGAAATTAATTAAATTAATTATTTATTTATTAAATAAGTTAAATAATTAAATATGGCGCGAGAAATTAGCTAAATAATTAAATATAAACCTTATATTTGATTTGTTTGTTTAGGTATAAGCGCTAGACAGCAGCGATATCGGGGTATTTTGCAGGTCCCGATAGGGTATAGTTGACAAGATTGCCCTCGACGTCGAGATGTGTGTTGCGGGAAGAGCAGGGGGCAGCTACGGGCGAGGCGTAGTGTTTGTGGGAGAGGTTTTCGTAGAGGGTCGAAGGGTTCGTAGCGCGCATGTAGTAAGGAGTCGCTTGTGTGCGATGTAGATTGGTACGACGGAACCGGAGGCTGTGTAATGGATAGACTGTCAAACACTTCGGTTCAAAGCAAAGACAGCATTACTTACAAATGTGAGTACGCTCGGGGGTCTTCTTATTTGTGCAGCTGCCTGATTATACGACGGGCTTTCGAATCCCGGTGGGCTGCTTCGGAAGGAGGTCAGTCAAGATGATGATAAAGATTGCTGTTGGTGTGCACGTCAGCAGGACAAACACACGGTTGGAACGAAGTGTAACAATAGTTCTATTGGCACTGCAGCTAGGAGCCTCCGTTTCCCATCGAAGCCTTTTTAGTACTGTCGTTGTCCTATAGTGCTGTGAACCAGAGACCAATAGGGAGCCGTGTGTTTCGAGTCTCTCTAAGGCCTCTGGTTCCTTTTTTGTTTTCGTACTCGACGCGTATGCGAGCGGAAGGAGAATGAGTTGGACAGGGCCCTCGATTCCGTTAAGGGAGGTAGGTAGGTGGAAGGGTCGCTTGTGTAGCCTTGACCGCCTTCCAAGCCCACCTTGTCTGCCGACTGCTCAGAGAGCCAGAAATATTGATGATTATCAAGGCAAGAATTATAGTTAAGAGGAAATTTAATTGTGGAGACAAAAGTTGGGAGAAGGATGTTGAATCTCGGGGTTCGAGAGGCTGAGGAAAGCCACGTGCCACGGTCGACTCAGTATTGATGTTGTGCACTCTCTCGACGCTCACGAGCGCTGGGTAAACGGGGTCCCAAGTCATGCCGTTGGCCAAGGTTGATGCATTTCTGTATGTGTACCGAAGACGAAAATCTAGACAGAGACTTGAGCGAAGCTCCAAGAAAATCTTGGCCCAAAATTCCAACAGCCAGCAAGAGCTTAGCCGGAAGTGGTGGGTTAGACCATCTTTGAGATATCGTGACAGAACATGAAAATACGAAATGCTCCCCTGAATCACAAGCCGCCGTGTGCGCTTGTTTGTTGCCCCTCATCTCCAGCCCTTTTCTTATCGTCCGCTTCTGTTCGACTGACATGTTCCTCAAGGCACTCATCTCTACAGCGAAAGCTGGATCGTGAGCCATGGGCCAAGTTAAAGGCTCCTGAATTATTCAGACGGTCGCTGTATCCATGTCAATAGGTGAAAGACACAGAGAAGAAGATCACAAAGGTCAACTGCTGTTTGGGTCAAAAGGATGTATTACTGGAATCTGCCCCCTCCTAGAGGTGTACACCCTGCAATGTATAACTGATGCATCCAAGCTACTTCTCTGTTGCTTAGAACCTTCAATATCCCCAACTAACCTCCACCCGGAAGGGCTCTGACAATCCATGTGTTGGTATACATGTCAACAGGGCGAGTCCACGATTCCCCCCGGTGGATCTAGTGCACATGGATAGTATAAGGCGGAGAGAGGTCGGTGATTGGCTGAATGTCGATGCCAAACTTGAGAATATCGCCCGTTGTAAGCTCTTTCGTATGCAGAGGCAGACCTAGAGAGTGATGGTAGGTTCCGTGTAGCAAGCCGATGTCTTTGACGAATAGTTTCTGGTCGTTGTGTTAGTATTCAGCGTAAAACTGGTCGGAGTAGAGCATATACCTTGTGGTACCAATCGACCGTGGTTTGGTCTGCTCTCAATTCATGGCGAGGCTGCTAAAGTAGCAATTGTCGGCTTCTGCTCCAAGTTGTTAAATCGCTGGCTCGCTCGCGAGTGGGAGAAACGGCCATTTGCAACCGCCCGAGCACCTTCCTTTCTACCGTCGATATAAATTGCGGGTTCGAGCTCTGAGTTCCGGCAAGAGTCATATCCCTCGAGGAGCGTCTTCAGTGGGCTTGACTTGTCTTTGGCGATGATTGTCTCTGGAATGGATCTCTTCGGCAACGGCATGGCCGTTTGTGCCTTCCGTAAGGTCGACATCCTTCCACGTACTTGCAGTAAGGAAAGAATCCTGGGCTCCGCCCACCAACTTCCTTCCATACCATATTCGGAGGCGAATACGATTGTTCGACTTCGTACTGACCGAAGGTGTTTGCCCTGCTGAGCGTCACCATCGCTTCAATCCAGGCACATACATCGCAACGCTGACCTCGTACCGGCCGAAAGGCTTTGCCCTGCTGAGCATCGCAATTGCTCCAAGCACATACACTGCTGTATTCTGTAAGATACGGGGCGTTCAATCGCTGTGCTGCTTTTGTACAGCGCACTGGGGTCCCAAAGTCAGCGGAGGCCCCAGGGGCTCTCGATACTCATGTAACCGAGAGCTATAGGTAGCATAAGTATCGAGAGCCGTGAGCTTCACTTCTACGACCATCCCTCCGGCTCCTTCATCCAGCAAGCTGCCGCTGTCACTGCCACCGTCACCGAGGTTGGAAAGTGGGAGTACTACGACCGATTCCGACAAGCCTCGTTCGGTGTCGACTTCAAGCTCGTTGAGGTCTTTAGTATCGCGATTTCTCAACCTTTGAAGACGAAGGCTATTGTCAGTGTTGCACATGTAAGTCTGACGTCCTAGAAATCGCTACAAGGACACGCTGACTGACTATTCTCTGTGTGCGTACTAGCCTCTACACGTCATAGGCAGAGACGGATCCATCCAAATCGAACTGCAAACACTTGCCAACGAGCTCAAACTACGAGCCAATTCTATGGCGCTGGGCCACAGACCCAAGCGAGAAGTATACGAGGCTGAGAGAGAGTATAAATGGCCACCTGGCAGGTCGAATAATGACGGGTCGAGCTTTCCGTGGGAGAAAGCTACTCATGTGAGCTTCCCTGTTGCACTTCAATCAGAGCAATTAACATACTGACCAAAAGCCTACCATGCTCAGGGATATGTTGCGAAAGAGTCTGCAAAGACCGCCGCCAGTGGAAAACGCGATGACGGCCAGCAGGCGGCAAAAGAAGTTGAGACGAAGTGTGGCAAGCAGCAGAAGCAGGAGCAGCAGCAGAAGCAGTACGAAACGCGAAACGCACATTCAACCGAACCGATTGTGGGAGCACTCAAAAGACTCCGGTGTTGGAATATTGACGGCAGAAGAGGTGATTTGGGATGTGGTCGGGCCATTGTAACCAAAGTAGGGGTCCCAGCAATCGTCATACTCATCATCGTCCGCGGTCTCGAGGGAGCTCGCGTGCTGAGTACAAGGCTTGATGACGCGACGAGGCTTCTCGTGCTGCTGCTGCTGTTGTGCGGTGGAGTCGCGGCCAATTTTGCCCGCAGGGCCAGCAAGCTTGCTGCCCTCGTTCTTGGTATCGACCATATGTAGAGTCTCTTCCTCTTTCTGCTTCTCCTTCTGATCGACAGTCTGGTTGCTCTGTCCTTCACTTTCTCGCACACCTACACCCGGCAGAGGAAACATGAGCTCTGCTCACAACGTCCTTCTCGGGCACACATACGCAGTTCAGTACTACAATCATTGAGCCTCGCACCACCCGAAAGATCCGGCCTTGTTGACGTCGGGTGTATGTCAACACCCGACGTCACCCGGCAAAGATGGGAGAGCTCGCCGACTTCCTCGTCGAACACGACCAAAACTTCCGCAAGTCCGTGCCTCACTCTCTTTCTCTCCCCCCCCCCCCCCCCCCCCCCCCCCCCCCCCCCCCCCCCCTTCCCCTTTTTTTTACCCCCCCCCCCCCCCCCCCCCCCCTTCCCCCCCCCCCCCCCCCCCTCCCCCCCCCCCCACCCCCCCCCCCCCCCCCCCTCCACTCATTACCTCGTCTTCCAAGCTTTGAGCTCAATTGTATACTAACGCCCTTGCCTGCGCAGAGCCCATTTGCCCGCCCTCTACTCCGACTTCCGCCCCCAACAGACCATCAATCCAGACAGCTTCCAAGCCAACTGTTGAATTCTAGGCAGTCGGCAGAATAGGTGGATCTAGGAGGCATTCTGGGCCATGCAAACGGCCCTTCCACTGACTTACCATCTTTGGAGGAATCCTTCGCCCACTTCTTCCTCCTTCCGCTTCCATACGCAGCAATAAACCGCCATGTTATTGCCCTTCGTAACAATCTTGGATGTGTATACCAACACTAATATCGGCGCATGGCGCCATGACCTCGCCCGCACAGCATGGGAAGGCCGAATCGCCTCGCAGCTCTCAGCGCCGAATGTCCTGGTCGTCAACGTCGACGACAAGAGCAGGATCAGATGAAGCAGGAGAGGCAGAAGGGGCAGGAGAGGCAGAAGGGGCAGGAGCGGCAGGAGCGGCAGAAGCGGCAATTGCAGGAGCAGTAGGAGGAGCAGGAGCTTGCGAGTGAGCAATGCGTTGCAGTTCTCACTGAGCAGAACCAGAAGGATACCAAAGAAGGTAGCAACAGCGATCAGAACCAGAAATGCCAGGACTCATATAAGAAGGTGGCACCATCTCAGTCTATCCCTACCGGCGTGCTCGCATCACTCCCGATGAACGATGTTGTGAAGATGCTCCCGTACAGTCCATCTACCAGCTTACCCGCCTGTCCTGCAAAAGACAGCCGTTAGTTCCGTAATTGCTTCCGTTCTCGTGTACTTGTCTGCAGCAGATCTAGCACCAAGAGCGGAACTGTTGATCCGACCCATTTCTCGCAGCAGGAGCTGCAACAGTTCCGGACGGGGTGTCTCTAGGGGAGAGAAAGAAGGCCAGGGAAGCGGGTGGAAATGGTTAGGGGTCGCCATCACGTGGATGACGAATGGCCGTGTCACTCAGGTTTTGAGAGCAAGACTCACTTCTGTCCTTTGTCCGATTGAATCTCACTGGACATGTGCACACCGCCCCCTAGGTGGTCCTTATCTCAGTACAATACCTTAGACGGCAAGTAAGGTAGATAGCCTTAGGGTGGCTTCAACTCATGAGGTGATTACACATGGAAAGCACGCCGCAACGAGCAGGGCAAGTAAACACCGTAGTGGGCAGGCGCCGTACCTACTTGATACCCAGGCAGTTTCTCCTAGGTAGAAACTAAATGGCAATTGGAAAGTGCAGCTCCATCGGCAGTGGGTAATTGCCGTTGGAAGCGAGCAAGCTCAATGGAAGGAACCTACGGTAGGCCCGCATAAAATGTACCCACTTAAACTGGCACCGGGCACCCTCTGGGCGACTGTCTACTCTTAACTGCGCTTCCGACTGCGCTTTCAGTTGCCCACCCTCGATCAGGCTAGGTACTTCCTTCCACCTGTGATCATCCGGGCACGTACTCCCCCGCTGGGCACCTTCCAATGAGACAACGCATCAGAGCTTGCCTCCGAGAGCCGCCAGCTGTGGCCTATGACATCATCCGACAAGCCAGAAGGGAAGGAGTCTCGGTCATGTCCTTCCATCTCAGAGTGTCGGATTGGAGGTCCAATTCGATCCCGAGTGACCATTCAACTTACGGCTGGAATCTCTCTTTTACATCACTACACAGAACCAATCAATCTCTCCGTCGTGGCTGGACTTCGACGCCTTGAGCTGGGGAGAGCTCATTCTCCGGCAAATGACGTTTGACATGATGAAGCTCCGGGAGGGAGATGAGACCGCCGCTTCTGCCAATAACATGGCTCATGACCCTTGAACTTCTCGGTGTAATGAGTGCTGCAGTCTCCAAGCTTCGCTCACACGTTCGTGAGGTCACTTATTCCATGGGTGGAAGCGATTCCAACGAGTTATCGCGGTACCTGTCTGAGCCTGAAGGTGATCCCCTCCTCTTCATCTTATATCTCGATGGATCAGTTCAGCTAACCAGCCCACGAAAGGTAATTTCATCACCACCATTCCGCAATCATCTACTAACCCGTCACTCAAGATGTTCGCAACATTACTCACGTGCTGAACAACGACTACCCCAACAACTGGGATAACTATATCCATCTCGTATGCTTGTTCTCTGGTCTTGCGGCCCGCTGCTTAGGTTGCTCGATGTCTTCTGGAATCATCGTACGGTATGTCAACATGCGCGACGCCCGTATCTGGTACTTCCCATCTTTGGACTGCCTTCATACGAATGATCTCCTGACTCAAAGGCAGACGTAGCACGGATGTTGTGGTTAACCCATAGCAACACTCGGAACGAACAATACACGGCTCGTTTGGAGCCTGCAATGCTCACTCGTCATGCCTCCATCAAGGCGACAAATCAAGTATCAGGGGTGGCATTCCCAAGGCATAGCACCCCTGGTTGCAATATTCCGAGCCTCATTTACAACACATCTTCTTTTCTCCTCTATCTTCGGCCTACGAGCAGCACAGCGCGACGGTTCCATCCCAGCACGTAATAGTGGTGTCGACTGCGCTGTAGAAAAGCAGCGCAGCCTCATGTCGCCATCTTCTACGTCACAGAGGATGATGAGGAGGCTGTTAGAGGTACCTTGAGTGCTGCGTGGAACTTCATGCAAAGGCATGCTGTGCCTAGCATTCTCATCTCAAACGACGAGGTCTACCACCAACTTACTGCAATGTGGGACGACAGGATCAAACAGCACGCTATGAACATCTGTGTGGAGTCTTCAGGATGACAAGGGTATATTGAAGCAAAAAGAAGCAGCTTAAATGTGCGTACAGTGCAGGGAGTACACGTCGAAGCAGGGGCAAATTTCGGTAGTCCATCTCTTTGACTCAAACAGCATTTGGCCTCTGTGAGCTTCCTCTGTGTCGTACGCCTACTTACAGGAGGAGTCGCTTAACCGCTCAGTCCTTCTCTTAAGCTCTCAATCAATCTGGCCTCAATCGAACGCCCCGCATCGTACAGATCAGAACGTCGTGACCGCCCAACGGGCCTTGCAGGCAATTACTTCTCGGCCGGTGGCGGCTCCTAACATTTGGACAAGTATGGAATAGGTCACGCTCGATCTCCTCCCGCAAGTGAGGGTCATTGATGAGCTCAAGCGTGACATGTGCCGTATTTGTCCGAATACGAAGCGTTGGATTGCGGAGTTTGATCGAATCATGAGGCTGCGAGTGGACAATGCTTCGGAGGCTTTGGTACCGGAAGTTCGGGGGGCATGGGTGTGGAAGATCAATGTTGATGAGGTTCTGTACACGACGTGGAGCTTGATGCGGGCATGGAGTGATGTCAGTTCTGGCACAGCGTACGACAAGACTGTGTCGAAATGTTCTTTGTCAAATAGAAAGAAGGTTAGCAGCGGGAACAAGGATGAGGATGACGATGATGATAATGACCAAGAGGATAGCGACGACGATGGGACGGACGATGAGGACGCGGAAGACGATGATGGCACTAATCAGAAAGGGGAAGGAAGGCAAAAAGGAATGGCAGTGGAGGGAAGTCTGGGCTACTGAAGGTTGTGGGCTATGACAAGGACACCGCAGCTATTAGGCCAGAGAACTCGGCATCGTAGACGTTTATCAATATGCCACCGACGCCTCAGCATTCAATGGTCCGGCTGCCGTGACTGCTGAGTTGGGCCTGGTTCTCGCCCTGAAGCGTTGGTGGATGCTTTGGCTACCTAGTCGGTCGGTCGTTTGTATAGAAAAGCGAGCTGATGCCAAGCGTGGCGGCCAACCTTGTGAACTTGAGGTGACTCATCGGGTTTTGAGAGCACGGCATACACTGCACACGAATCGGCAAGGAGCCCAATGCGAGGAATGATCTTGTAGTTCGGTTGCTGTCTGGGTACAGCGAGAAATCGTCGAATTCTGGCACTAGTGATACAGTCTGACAATGTCATGAAATGCGAGGCGAGGCGGGATGGCGTCGAAGTAGACCGGGTAATTGGGACAGCAGTGCGTGGAAGTGCTACAATTGTTGAACAGGGCATTAGCCTGGGCGGCAACCAAGGAATCGGGCGCATCTCCGAGGAAGAGATGGAGGCCTCGCCACCTCCGATGGGAATGGGGGCAATCCGGGATCAATTGCTTGGAGGACTGTGTACGGGAGCCTAGCTTTGGGAGGGTGAGTCGCGACGACTTGTGTAGATGACAAATTCTGAAAATTGATGTGATTTATCGTATGTCGGGAAGAGTGGGCGATCCCTGTTTGCCTCTGGTCAGTATCTGAGTTCAATGTGCGAAGGATGGGTTTGGTCAGAGAGGCCCTATCTCGCAATTTGAAGTCGGCAAATAACTCGAGTCAAACTAGAAGAAGCAAGTCTGTAGAAGAGCCTGGTGTCTTAGGTACACCTAAACAGGAACTTACAGTATCTCGGCTGTACGTTATTCGATACCAGAAATGCATCGGCTCTCGGTCATGGCCCAAGCCGCCCGGGCCCTGTCTTCATCCTGCCTTCATACCAGGGCAATTTAACAGTCCATCATCGCCATCAACATCGCTTTTTCGAATACCTTGACTGACC